CGTTGGGAGCCACTTTTCTCTCATAAATCGAATGAAGACGGGGTTAAATGCTTGCGGGGAATTGTTTTGTCTGTTTGCCGAGAGGAAGACACAGAAGTGAAATACGCAGCTGGCTCAGTAGGTTCGGTCATCTTTATTTGAAAAATCCCCGAACATATTTTGTACGGACTCTAGTTTAGTCAGACATTCAATCCTCTTCTCAACAGTTATTCATTCACTCACTGCGTTATCTCAATCAATTTCCATTCTCATGCAATTTAGTCTATAGTGATTTGTTTCAATCCACTACTAGTGTGTGACTGACTTGGGCTTTTTGAGACTTATCAATCTTTTGAAGGTGATTTTATACTTTAAAATATTTTTTATATTAAGAAATTTTGGAGATAATATAGATTTACTAATACAAGTTTTAATAATTAACCCATAGCTAAGGGGAGAAGATGTAGATTCATTCCTTTCACAAAGGTATTTACCCGTCAAGGAATATATGAACCAAACTAGCATTCTATCCTTGTTATGACGATAAACTGCATCCGACAGCAAGGCCTTTGATCAGTAGGTTTTCAGGAGCATGGAAACACCTCTTAATTGCTAGTGACCCGGTGTGGTAGCACCTGTTAGGATCGCAGCTATAGGAAATAGTTAAACTGGGAGTTAACTATTTAGTTAACAACTCCGCTATGAAAGTGTAAAAATAGGTTTTATTACTAGCAATATATTTTTTTAAAATATTACCAAAAATACATTTTTGAAGAAAAGTATTACCAGCAGTACATTTTTTGAAGAAAAAAATACATTTTTGAAGAAAAAAAAATTAAGAGCAATAAATTTTTAAGAAAAAATATTAGCAGCGATGAAAAATCTTGCCGGCATTAAATAAGCCAAACGAAACCAAAGCAAACCAAAAGAAACCAACTGAGATTGATTTCCATTCACGAGCTGTTATTTATAAAACCAACCATCCATCTTTATCTTACAGCCTAGTATTCTTAAGAGGTCAGCGATCTAGATATTGACCAGGATCTACGTTGCTTACCTACGCTGGTAGTTGGAGAACAGGGGCTTGAACTTCAGTCAGTTATGTGCCATGCGTGATAAACGCTTAGGCAATCATGTACATTTCGATACATGACTGACGAGGCAATTTTTTTCCTTCAGTCGGTTTCCCTATCTTTCTGCGGTAGACCGGATGCCATCAAAGGCTATAGGACCCATAGGCTATAGAGTGCCTGCTATTTACCCATAGCTGGGTTAAATAGAGGATTCATATATTTCCCAAGGCACGTAAGTGAATGCAATGGATTTGACTGGAATTCGAACTCGTCTCGCCGATTTCTCACTCCGAGCCGTTATCCGTTGAAATCAGTTATAAGATTTTTTTTTCTCATATTCATTCTGTATATTTTCATATATTTCTCTACTAGAATTATATTAGTTATAATGAATGCTGAATAATCCCCCCGCACCAGATGAAGAAAAGACTTGCTTAGCGAGCTTTAGCAAATAATGTCGGAAAAAGATTTTAGAGAGATAAGAAAAAGAGAAAATTTATTAAGTGCTACAAAAGACAGGTTGCTGTGGAGAGCCGTGTTTTCGTGAACACAAACGGTTCACAGAAGACAAAGCAGAAAAATGGTACAAAGATTTTGTTTGACTACTTGTTTTTCCTTCATTTTCTAAGTCACATTCAGTTTAGAATAAAAATCTAAATCGTGTGTTTTGGGTTTTTTTTTTTTTTTTTTTTTTTCAAATTAAACACGGGTAAAGAAGAAATTTGTTTTATATCCATTTCCATCATAGATATTATTACAATATTCAACTTCATCTGTGAGGAGATTGTCCAGGATCACCTGCCATTTTCTGTTTCTTAATACTTAGCTAAGCTTTTGGAAAACATCCCAATGCAACCTCGGATTTCAATGTCGTTCTTTCCGTCCTGTGTTTCAACGCTTCCTCCATATTTAAATTCCAGTACTTGTTTGATTTTGGTATCTCCAACTTGCAGTTTGCATATTGGACTCTTCCTTTTGCTAACAGTCATGTATTCCGTATTTATGCAATTAATGTTTAGTCCTTTCTTCTCGCTTTCTTTCCCAACCTTCTGTATGATTTCATTTAGTATTCTTTCCGTGTCTGCTATCAACACTGTCATCTGAAAATCTAATGTTGTTAAGATTGTAGCTGTTAATAATGAATCCTGGCCGGACTTCTAATTCTCTCAGAATCGCCTCACTGTATAAGTTGAATGAGTCCGGTGAGAAGATACATCCTTGTCTTGCAAACATTTCAATTTTTTGTATATTTACTGAACGCATTCTCTCTCCGCTTGCAGATGGTTTTCTGCAAGTATAGTTTCTGGATTATTGTATTATTTCTCCAGAGAAAACAAATACACTGGTTACTGGATATGGTAATCGGAATTTTTCTCTTGGCTTGATTGGTATTATAGTGTGTAGCTTATATATCATAAACAAGTAATTATACAAAGAATTAATTAGCAATGTTAATGGGATTAATGGTGAAATCACTTCGCTAACAAGACTTAATTAGACATTAACTTACGATCATCTTTTGTATGTATATTACATATATTTCGTCTTAGTGTTTGCTTGTATTTGGAGAAATTACACACCGAAGATGACAATTTGGAATTGTTGAAAGTACTCGGTCCGATAATTCAATCTGACAACAACACAAATATAAGGATCGTATTATTGAAGGAGTTGATAGTAAATTAATGTTTAAGTGTTTTTAGCGAATTGATTTCGCCATTAATCACATTGACATTGCTAATTGATTCTTTGTATAATTACTTCTTTATGATATAATATATCTACATGTGTGTGTGTGTTTCTTTCTTCTATTATGTCAATGTAAATTCGCCAAATTTTATTACAGTTTTGAAAGATTAAATATACTACTCTAGTAAATATACTCTCGAACGCTTACAGCTTATTTTATATTAAACACTTTCTGTATTGCTACCTACGAAACTCGTTTTCTGTACTCCATCATATTTTCTTTAACGTAGTTGAAATAAATCCGTATTTTTATGATGTGTGAAAAAGTGAATGCCAAAGGTTATCTGCTTTCGTTCGGGATGTACTTGCCTTGAAATATATTTCCTCGTTTTACGAAATGTTTCAACTCGGCTGCTACATTCCGTTGGCAGTTAATACCGTTATTCAACTTACGTTTTCGACGTAAACAGAAGCTGACAAAAGAAAAAAAAATGTATCGTGTTATATATTTAGAATCCTGGTAAAACGAAAAGAAAAAAAACATTATCTAAGATTATGCTTTAATAGACAGACGAGCGCATTCCCAATTTGATTAACGGTTTAACCCAATTTTCATACAACGATTTCTTCCCGTCTGCTCCCATGACATACAAATTTATATTGAATACATGTCAATAATAAAAAGTATTAATCTATTAAGAATTTTGCATTGTTCTACAAAACTGTCTTCATAATAAATTCTTTTCTTCCTTTCCCTTTATTCTCTAAATTCATTTTCTTTTTTCTTTCTTTTTATACTTTGCTTCCCGGTTTGACCTGAGAAAATAAAATTTGGTTAGCTATTAAAAAATTAGATGTTTCTGAATTTACGCGGTTCGCGAAACGATGGTGCCATTCTTGGAACATATTTACGGGAATAACTATCAGAAATGTATTCAAGTATTGCTGGATGCCAGACATATCAGCAAATCTTTGTCCATAAAGGAGTTTTTTTTTTCAATTTTGGAACCAGTGAAAGAATCGCAGGTGTTAAGTCTGGAAAATAAGATGGATGAGGAATTTTTGTAATAGTTTTCTTAGCCAGGAAATCGCGAAAAATTAATACATCATTTGGAAGGGCAATGTGGAAAATACTATTATCAACCAGAGACCTTTTTTTCTTCTTCGTTGGGTAGATCCCGGCAACCATTTCAACACTTCTCAATAAACATTAACATCTGTTATGTGTGGTTTTGTCTACCCAATACTTGCGCCATCATGCGCCTTTATTGAAACGCTATGTCACACAAAACACTCGATATCTTTATATCATATTCAACATGAGAGATTTTAATAGGGATATATTTTCACTCTGACTATTACCAAACATGATGCAATCTATTGTTCCAGTTTCTTTCCATTTGTTTCCGCGAAAAATATGACATGAATTAAAAAGTATCTGTTCTATATTTCTGTGATGAGGTATTATGTACATTATTTACATCATTCGGACTATTGTCCTCATCTTTGACGCCATATTTATTACAACGTTTCGGCCTTTCTGTATCTATCTATATTTCTGTGATGAGGTATTATGTACATTATTTACATCATTCGGACTATTGTCCTCATCTTTGACGCCATATTTATTACAACGTTTCGGCCTTTCTGTATCTATCTATATTTCTGTGATGAGGTATTATGTACATTATTTACATCATTCGGACTATTGTCCTCATCTTTGACGCCATATTTATTACAACGTTTCGGCCTTTCTGTATCTATCTATATTTCTGTGATGAGGTATTATGTACATTATTTACATCATTCGGACCATTGTCCTCATCTTTGACGCCATATTTATTACAACGTTTCGGCCTTTCTGTATCTATCTATATTTCTGTGATGAGGTATTATGTACACTGTTTACATTATTCGGACTATTGTCCTCATCTTTGACGCCATATTTATTACAACGTTTCGGCCTTTCTGTATCTATCTATATTTCTGTGATGAGGTATTATGTACATTATTTACATCATTCGGACTATTGTCCTCATCTTTGACGCCATATTTATTACAACGTTTCGGCCTTTCAGTATCTATCTATATTTCTGTGATGAGGTATTATGTACACTGTTTACATTATTCGGACTATTGTCCTCATCTTTGACGCCATATTTATTACAATTTTTCGGCCTTTCTGTATCTATCTATATTTCTGTGATGAGGTATTATGTACACTGTTTACATTATTCGGACTATTGTCCTCATCTTTGACGCCATATTTATTACAACGTTTCGGCCTTTCTGTATCTATCTATATTTCTGTGATGAGGTATTATGTACACTGTTTACATTATTCGTACTATTGTCCCCATCTTTGACGCCATATTTATTACATCGTTTCGGCCTTTCAGTATCTATCTATATTTCTGTGATGAGGTATTATGTACACTATTTACATTATTCGGACTATTGTCCTCATCTTTGTCACTATATTTGCCACAACATTTCGGCCGTTGTACGCTATGGCCTTCTTCAGGTGGTTGGAATGTCGAACTGAACCCTTTATTTCGCTCGCTGAGGTTAACTGTTCTAGTCCCACGTGCCATGTCTAATGGATGTCAGTTATCAGTTATCTCTTGTTAATTACCCTCCCCATGTTCCTCAATGCCTTAACTAGGTATTGAACTCACAACTCTTTTGGGTCCTGTCACTGGTTCTAACCAATGCCTTTATCCGCTGTGCCATGTGTCCTTCAAGGGTTTTGAGTTCAAAACCAGGTTATGGCAGTGGAGAAATTCGAGAGAGGAATTAACAGGAGACTGATAAGTGACATCAATTAGACATGGCACGTGGAACTAGAACAATCTACTTCGGGGGCGGAAGTAAAGGGGTCAGTTCAAAATTACAATCACCTGAAGAAAGCCGGAGCATATAACGACCGAAACGTTGTGAATATATCAATGAAGATGAGGATAACAGTCTGAGTAATGTACATAATATAAATACGCTTCAGTCTTTCCCTAAATAAAATTGTCACACCACTTATAAGATTTTTCTTTGTTTTTATTTGTGTTTTTCTTTCTTATTTTCTTTCTTTCTTTTTGTCAATATTTTCTTCTCTTTTTCAGTTCTGCTTTTTTTCTTTTATCTTTCGGGTTTTTTCTTCATTATTTTCCTTTAATTCCTCACGAATTTTGTCTTTTCTTTTTTCTTTTATATTTTCTCCTTCTTTCTGTTTTTCTCAGGAGATCTTAACCTTCTCTATTTCAATATTCTCTCTTTGTTTTTCTTTTTTTCTATTCTTCATTTTAATGCATTTTTAAAACTTACCCTCCTAATTCTTCTTTCTTTCTTTCTTTCTTTCTTTCTTTCATTGAAATAATGCGTCCCAGCTTCCTTCTTTTCCCTTTTTCGTACAAATATTCTGTTTTTCTTTTTTTTTTTACTCACCTTTCTTCACATCTCTATTGCTATTACTTCTTTCTTTATAATTTCTTTTCATTCTCTATTTATTTCTTCGCTTCTTTTTTCTTCTTCTTCGTTTTATTTCCCTTTATCCCAAGTCCTTTTCCTCCCGTTTTCTTTTCTTTCCTTTTCCGTTTTCTTTTCTTTACTTTTCCGTTTCTGAATTGTTTTTATTATTATTATTATTATTATTATTATTATTATTATTATTATTATTCTACCTCGTCACGATACATAAAATCTTCACCTAATAATATACACATAATAGTTATAACTTGTTCATTGTATGTTTGTTCATACGAAAGGTATAGAACGAATCCCCACTTCACTTTCTTCCATCAAATGACATCTTGTCCGTTTCGTCAAACAATTACGACGCCATTGTATAGAGAACGTTAGGAGTCCAAGGTCCCTTTCCATGTTACTTGTATCATAATTTCCTGCTGAGTGGTGATTGGTTATGTGATTGACGCCAAGGAATCATTGGCTTGATCCATTCAAATATGATGAAAGATAGATGTCACAATTTGACACTTCTACAGCAGTAGTCTGGAGATTTCCCTGGCTCATAGGATTGACCAACCACATTTTTGTTTTAATTTAATTGTTGGAATAAATCGCGTTTATCTTGTCTTAATTTTCTGCTGCATTCTCTATTTTTCCTCACTTCTTGCTAAACATTCCACTCTGGTCATATAATCAATAATACGACAAAATTAGAGAAACACTATTAATAACGTTTCCGAGCTAGTTCTTTAAATTGAATGGAAAAAAATCTTTTTGTGTCCTGTTGTCTGAAAACATATAACAGTACACAATGGGTTTAGGAGCTTGAAAGAGAGATAAGGAATCATTATTTACTTCGCTAATTTTTAAAATCTGTTAATTTTTTTTCCTTAGTCTTGTTTGTATGAGATTCCTCTGTTTTAAGTTTTCTTAACTGATTGCCACTTCTCAGTTCGTTTTCATAAACAATTTGATTCATCTATTAAAAAAAAAAAAGTTCCTTGGTTTAAAATAAAATCTCTATCACTTTACATCAGCACCTTGACTCACTGATAAAATAGAAAACTGAAAAAGCAAAATGTATAAAAGGGGGTTCAGTTGTTTAAAAATCATATAACTCCGTGCAGGGCAATAAAGCCACTAAGACACAAATGGTTACGGCGTGGGGAAGAATTAGAAAAAAAAAAGAAACATTATTAAGGAGTGAGAACAATAGAACGGTAATGAAGAAGACATTAGATAACCATTGATATTGAATATGAATTTTTGAAGATCAAAGTTGACTGGAAAAAATGATGCCGGAAGAGAGTTACACAGGCAAGAGGTGCGTTCGAAGAAACTGTTAGCATAAAACTTACGGCTAAATATAGGCATTTGAATTGTGAATTGGTGATATCTTGCCGTTAATAGAGTACTACGCTTAAATTCATAAATTCTAGGTACCACAGAGCAACACTACCTCCTCAAGGAACTTGATGTTGGCCTCCGGGTTGAGCCTGATGCCCTGTGGGAAGATAAATGGAGGCATAACGTCGCCATCACTAGTGATCACTCCAAATATCTTCGTAATCACCATTAGACTCATCTAACTCTTTCCTAATCCACTGCACTGTCCTCAGACTTACACACAAACATTCTGAAGTGTTCGTATTGGAGTATCCGGAGCGAATATCAAGTAGTAGAACATGACGTTTCCAAATTTCTGGTGCAGTGAATTGCGTCATGGTGCTCTTTCTCTCACTGACGGTGGCCAACTGATAATACTATACTGTGCCGTCGACAAATTCAAAAAACAAACGCGCATGCGCGAAATTATAAAATTGTGACAATTCACACATCACACTCTGTAGATACGCAGTAGATTAAGCATAGAAATCTGTGTTATACTGGTGTCGTAAACTAGAGATTATTTCAATTTGCATTCGAGTCAAAACTTACACATTGGCACGCTTTTATCCGATAGTCAAAAGAGAGACGTAATTTTGGTTTGCACGTGAGACAGACGTAACTAAAGGTAGAAAAATCTGGTTTTTACTTATGAAAAAAGTAGTCATTGGTCAGAGTTATACACGAATTTACAAGAATCCATGTAGAATATATCAGATTTGAGGGGGTTACCACTCTACATATTATACAGTTGGTTGATTCAAAGCCCCACAGATATGAATGTCTCTCTCCATTTGTCATTCCTTCTTTAACGCACACATAAGCTCTTGGTTAATTCCTTTCTGCAGTACAAGACATTTTCGGTCAGTGCAGTCAAAGATGAAATGATTCTTCAACACTTATCAGCAGAAATGTTAGTTTTAAATCTCCAGAGAATTCGTGTACGTTACAACAGACGAGTGGATTACAGCATTTTATCATGAATTTTTGTAACATAGTAATTGCGAGTTCAATCACTGAGCATGGTAGTGTGTATTTAATGTTAGTGGAATCGAGCTACAATTGAATAGTATTAAAAATCAGAACTTGACTAGATATCGATAGACATGGGCAGTGGAACGAAAAGAGTTTACTCATGTAGGTTAGACAAAGGGTTCAGTTAAGACAATCGGCATGAAGGTCGGAGAACACGATGGACGAAACATTGTAATAACAACAAGAAAGATGAGGAAAATAGTGTCATGGAAATAATGATGTCAGACAAATAAAAGATATTATAATTTGCTTTCTTTGTTTTTGTTTTTTTTATATTTTTCTTAAATGAATCCAGTTACGTACTTATTGATTATTTTAATTAATTTACCATTCCTTTTTCTCATTCTCTTTTCTTTATCTTTCATTCCTCTACTTCTACATTTTTGAGCACCTGTCTCTATTTCTAAGATGAGGTATTATGTACACTATTCACATTATTCGGACTATTGACCATATTTATTACAACGTTATACGCCCCAGCCTTCTTCAGGTGGTTGGAATGTCGAACTGAACCTTTTATTTTGCTCACTGGGATAGATTGTTCTAGATCCACGTGCCATGTCTAATGGATACCAATTATCATTTATCTCCTGTTAATTTCCGTCTGAAATTCTCCACTGCCTTAACCAGGTATTGAACTCACACACTTTGAGTCCTGTCACTGGATCTAACTAACGCCCTTATCCACTGTGCCATATGTCCTTGAGCACATCTGTGTATGAATTTCTGGGTATTATAAAACTAATGTCTTCAGAAACCGTTTTTTACCAGAACCCATATTGAAATTTTAGTTGTTATTATCGCTTTTCTCTGACACTCCTTATTACTGGTTCCCATATTGTATTCATTTCTATGCTTGGTCGGCTCAGGAGATTTGTGTGGCCTAGATTATGTGCTGATTCCTTCAGTTTACGAATTTTCCAATGGTGTTCTTTGTCTATGACAGGACCTAAAGTGTGTGGGTTCAATAAACGGTTACGGCAATGGAAAACTTGGAGAGAGGAATTAACAGGAGATAACTGATAACTGACATCCATTAAACATGGCACGTGGAACTAAAACAGTCTACCACAGTAAGCGAAGTAAAGCGTTCAGTTCGACATTCTAACCACCGGAAGAAGGCCGGAGAGTACAACGGGTCGAAACGTTGTAATAAATATGGCGTCAAAGATGAGGACAATTGTCCGAATAATGTATATACTTCCATATTTTTATTAATTCGCCAATTTTCTATATTTGGAATTGTTTTCATGGTTTTTATTATTCTTTTATTCCATTTAGATTCACTTACGCGCAACTACTTTATGAAAGATATAAATCAATCCTGTCCCCAGGTAAGGGTTAAATAATAAACATTGTATCATAAAAAAAATGATGATTAATCTCAAAAATGCAATATTCACTCGCAAAAATAGAATAAAAAAACAAGCTAAAATAGGTTTTAGATATAACACAGAAATGGTTGATAAACCGTAAAAAAGAATTAAACCGATCAATTATAATTATTTTCTCTTATGTTAGAATAACGCAGAACAAAATAAAAAAAAATAACGAGAATATTTTACAATATATATAGACCTGACGAAGGAAGGTTTTACATTTTACGTTCATTGTTTATAGTCTTCTCTCTAGCTTTCATTCCTTCCTTCCTTCCATCCATTCATCTTTCTTTCCTGTGTTCCATTATTCCGTCCTGACTTACTTCCATCTATCCATCCATCCCACTTTTAATCCTGCATTTCTTATATCCTTGCCCTCGGTTTTCCTTCCCAAAATCCATCGTTCCTTCTTGTCTTCTTTCCCTCCATTCTGAACTCTTGCTTTCCTTCCATCCAACATGAGTACTTGCTTTCCTTTCACTCATTTTGCCTTCTTGCTTTCATTTCATCCATCCTGCCTCCTTGCTTTCCTTCCATACATCCTGCTATCTTCTTTATTACTTCCGGCCATCTTGCCCACCATCCTGCATACTTTTTTTTTTCGTTTCTTCCATCCAGCATTCTTTCTTTCATTTCGATCACCAGCCTTCATGATTTCATTCCATTCATCCTGCCTTCTTTCATTCCTTCCAGCCATCATGTCAGCGTGCTTTTCTTCCAGGGATCCTGCTTTCTTGTTTTCCTTCCAGCCACCCCACTTCTTCCTGCCTTCCTTCCTTTCTATCCTTCCTGTATTCTTTCAATCCATCTCGCCTTCTTGCTATCTTTCCATCCTCCTTGCTTTCCTTCCATCAATTCTTGCTTCTTTCTTTCCATCCTTCCCGTATTCTGTCCATCCGACTTCCCTTTCTGTTTTCTTTCCATCCATTCTTACTTCCTGCCTTCGTTCTTTCCATCGTTCCTTCTATTAATCCTTGTTTCGTGCTTTCCTTCCATCAATCCTTTCTGTTTGTCTGCCTTAATTCCATCCTGTCAGACTACTTTCCTTCTTTCTTACGATCCATTCTTCTTTCCTATTGGACTCCCTTCTTTCTATTCTTCATACTTTTTTTATATTGGACTCCTTTATTTCTATTCTTCATACTTTTTTTTATATTGGACTCCCTTCTTTCTATTCTTCATACTTTTTTATATTGGACTCCCTTCTTTCTATTCTTCATACTTTTTTATATTGGACTCCCTTCTTTCTATTCTTCATACTTTTTTATATTGGACTGCCTTCTTTCTATTCTTCATACTTTTTTATATTGGACTCCCTTCTTTCTATTCTTCATACTTTTTTTTTTATATTGAACTCCCTTCTTTCTATTCTTCATACATTTTTTTTTTATATTGGACTCCCTTCTTTCTATTCTTCATACTTTTTTATATTGGATTCCCTTCTTTCTATTCTTCATACTTTTTTTTTATATTGGACTCCCTTCTTTCTATTCTTCATACTTTTTTTATATTGGACTCCCTTCTTTCTATTCTTCATACTTTTTTTATATTGGACTCCCTTCTTTCTATTCTTCATACTTTTTTATATTGGACTCCCTTCTTTCTATTCTTCATTTTTTTTTATAGTGGACTCCCCTTCTTTCTATTCTTCATACTTTTTTTTATATTGGACCCCTTCTTTCTATTCTTCATACTTTTTTTTATATTGGACTCCCTTCTTTCTATTCTTCATACTTTTTTATATTGGACTCCCTTCTTTCTATTCTTCATACTTTTTTATATTGGACTCCCTTCTTTCTATTCTTCATACTTTTTTATATTGGACTCCCTTCTTTCTATTCTTCATATTTTTTTTTATATTGGACTCCCTTCTTTCTATTCTTCATACTTTTTTTATATTGGACTCCCTTCTTTCTATTCTTCATACTTTTTATATTGGACTCCCTTCTTTCTATTCTTCATACTTTTTTTATATTGGACTCCCTTCTTTCTATTCTTCATACTTTTTTTATATTGGACTCCCTTCTTTCTATTCTTCATACTTTTTTTTATATTGGACTCCCTTATTTCTATTCTTCATACTTTTTTTTATATTGGACTCCCTTCTTTCTATTCTTCATACTTTTTTTATATTGGACTCCCTTCTTTCTATTCTTCATACTTTTTTTTATATTGGACTATTATTTCTATACTTTTTTTTTATATTGGACTCCCTTCTTTCTATTCTTCATACTTTTTTTATATTGGACTCCCTTCTTTCTATTCTTCATACTTTTTTTTCAATCCGTGCTTCCTGCTTTCATATATTCTTTCCTGACTTGCTTCAATCTGTCCATCCTTCGTACACTTTTCCTTTTATATCATCAGACACGCAAAACTATTTGGGATCTACACATATTACGATTTATCAATGCTTTAGGTTGTAGACCATGTAGCAGGCATATAATCAGGAAGGATTTGTTTTTTGTCTGTCTTTTAAATAGTTACCAACTTTAAACTTTATTTTGTTTTAAAAAGATTTGTAGATACCGCTTTAAATGTCTCCATTTTTGTTCTTTTTATGTTCTTAATACAGACATTTTGTTTTTTTGCCTCAAGTATTGTTTTTTTTTTCTCTTTCCTTCTCTCTTCAATCATTCATTGGCCACATAACACCATCCAGGATGTAGGTATATCGCCTCAATGTTCTGTGTTATATGTGAAATTAATGAGATTTTCACTTGATTGAGCCATCGCACTAAACATTTTTTTCACTCGGATAGCAGAAAATACGTCAGGCAATTAATAAAATACACATATGCCCAAAAAGCACGCACACTCCCACGCTCAGAATATATAGACTCACACAACGTACTTCGTAGGTACAGAGTGACAACCGTCTTGACTAACGAAAACGTTGTACAATTTTCTTGAATCTTATAGACATGATATACAAGGAATATCCTTTTAAAACCTGTCTAAGCATCATACACACATATTTCTTTTTTTTCTTTTTCTGCTCTGCAGTACGTAGCCGATCGTGGCTCTCCACAATTTCCGTCTTTTGTATCTCTTAATAAATTTTTCTTAATATCTCTCCTGAACCTTGTTACGCGAGCCGTTTACTCAAGCAAGCTAGGAAGGTTATGTGCTGCTTTCCCCTGTCCTTCCTTCATTCAATCTGTCCTCTGAGTATAAAATTTTCCAAGCCCACTTTCCTCATTATGTGCCCTAGATATATAAACTGTCTCTTCCTTGTTTGATGTTTGTGTACTTTTTGTTTCCATTTTCAAACTTCGTCGTTGCTGGAAATTTCGGTCGATAGTATCCTCAGTATTTTTCTTTAGAACTACATTTCTGTTGCTTCAAGTCTGTGAGGAGATTTTCCAGCATTTAGTGATATATATATATATATATACCAATGCAGTGAGAACGAAAATAATATATAAATTCTAACGTTCACATCATTAATTCAAATGATGTTTCAATACCGATTGTAGAGCAATAATTAAAAAATACAGCGAAATATTGTCCCAATCAAACACACACAGTTACACTCACGTGTGCTCTCGCACACACACACACACACACACACACATATATATATATATATATATATATATATATATATATATATATATATATATATATATATATATATATATATTATTTATTATAATCTTTCATATAGACAAAAACAGTTTACTCACCAGAAAGGTGCAAACTCGTTTCTGTGCATTTCAATGGCAAACAAGGAAGTGACGTTTCACATACGGCTTGCTTACAAACAGAATTTTTCATAACCAATTTGGTTCTCACCAGTCGAAGTGCAATTGAAATTCACAGAAACGAAGTTGCATCATTCTGGTAAGTAAACTGTTTTTGTCTATATGAAAAACTATAATAAATAATATATATGTCTGTGTGTTTGTATGTGTGTGTGCGCGCGCACGAGTGTGTTTAACTGTGCGTGTTTAATTGGGGCAATAGTTCGCAGTATTTTATTTTATTTCTCCCTAGATTTAACCCATTGAGCCCAGACCACCGCCTGACTGGTGGTCGGGAAAAACGACGTTTAGCCAGCGTTCATCTGCTGGCTGAACTCATGTCCAGCCACCAGTTGAACGCTGGCTAAACAGTTGCCTCGCGTTTTGCTATTGGTTGTCTTATTTTGAAGAGTCAATCAGAAAAGCCGTAATATTTTGATGTCATCGAGTTTTATACTAACATGTCGACGCCTTTTTATTGTGTTTTGTGCATGTGTTTTGGATAATAAAAAAAAAATGATCGTTTTTACAATGAAGCGTTCGGGGTTTCAACTTGGACCCCCGGGTCTAAAACGTGCGAGAAAACAACGTTTTTATTTTTTATTTTATTTTTTTTACTGAGGAGCTCAGGCACAAAGTTTAAAATTGTTTAGCAACGCAGGACCCAGAAGGTTAAATTTTACGACATATGCACATATTATGAAAGTTGACTTTTTAATTCGTCTTTCTATACGATTCGTGTGTGCCATGTTATTTTCCTTTGCTTTTTATTGAAAGTGAAGGAAAGGAAGATGAATTTCTTGACTCCATGCGTTTTACAAACAGCAAAAAAAGAAGAAAACAATCCGTTTATGCGTCTTGTACCAGAACTTAGATTACAACTTCTAAGTAATTTGTTTTAGAAGTTAAAATTTTGATCTGGAAAACCATAAACGTTCCAGTACACCTGTAGTCTTTTCTGATGTATGGAGTTAATAATGACTGTTGTTGCACTTTTGGCGCGAATAATTTTCTCAATTCTATGTGGTAATGAATGCCACAAAGTTCAGATTCTGTCATTGGTAATATTTCGCCAATTCTGCTTGACAGTAATCCCAATGCTCTTGGAGATTGTGTTGGTTTTCATTCCTACTCCAATGGTTCACTTACACTGAGATCAAGGCTTTTTTTTAATTTTTTGCTGGCCAATTTTCCAAAAGTTTAAATATCTTCCACAGGAAACGTTCAGGTTGCACGTGATATACGGCAATCAGTACTGTCAAACTGAAAAATAAATCCGGGTGCAGGTTACATTTTCCGAAGACCCGATAGCGGCATTTTCAAGTGTCCTCTAATTAAGTTATTTTCACTTTTAGATGGATGGTGTGATTAAAATTATTTCTGAGGATGCCTAATATATTTAATAAATTGTTAGATACTTTTTTTTGTATGTGCATAAAAAAGTGTTATAAGAAAGGCATTGGAAAAGAAAAGTTTTCCTTTTGTCTTTATTCATATTTTCTTTTCAGAGTTCGAGGCAAAAAAAAAAAGGATGCACCCATAGAAAGTCGATTCTTGCATTTTTACCAAGACAAGAAAACAACGGATTTCGTTGAATGCTGTTGTATTGAGGCGGGTCCTTGATTTCCTTGGTTTTGTACAAATTAGCTGCTGCTGTGACTGACCCCCAAACGTTGTTTTTTTTTTTTGCTTTTTTTTATCGTGTTTAAAAGTGACCTTGATAGTCACTCCAGTATTTATTTCGCCGGGTACACCAAATACGCATTCCTTCTTCATATCTAAAAGTAAAGAGGCTCTCGTCACTCCACATAATTCCAATCAGATTTAGCCCAGTGTAAATGAGCTTTGCAACCAAGCCAACCGTGCCTGTAGATGTTTTCCAGATACGAAAGGTTTCTTTTTTTCATGTATTTGGAAACAATGCCCTTTGCGTTAAGCCTTCGTCTGACTGTTATTGAAGAAACCGCCAAACTAACCGCTTTGGAAAACATCTTTGAATCGATCTATTTTTGCATTGACCATCCAAGTTTCTATCTTCCCTATCGGTTGTTTTTAGCGGTCGGCCAGATCCACTATGTCTATTATATGTTCCAGTTTGATTTCTCTTTTTGATTAACTTGAGGACACATGACTCACTTCGATTAATCTTATCAGCTATCGATCTATTCGACAGCCCAAGATAAATGAAAAGAGCGGGTCGGCTTTTCTCGAAGTTAGAACAATGCTTAAGCATGTTTATAAATGTAAATAAAATATAATAAGCTTTATATTTTGTTCATCAACATTTTATGGACGCGTTTTTTTTTTGTCTCATCGTCTATATATATTTTATATATATATATATATATATATATATATATATATATATATATATATATATATATATATATAAAAAAAGTTTCAAATTAAAACAAGACTTGCTAACAAGCAGTAATTTTAAATTATTTGTAACAAACAGTTATTTCTGATGAAAAATTGAGGACAATTTGAAATATCAAATATATATATAAATAAATAAATACTTTCATAAAATAAAACATTATAATTTTTAATTTGAAACTTTTTCTATATATACATATTAAGAAAGTATACGTGGCTTCTCATTATGCTATATATATATATGTGTGTATGTGTGTGTGTGTGTGTGTGTGTGTGTGAAAAATATATAGAAAATAGGAAAGAACTCGTTAGGTAAATAATCCAAAGTTCTTTAGTATTTTTGTTATTATTTTAAAAAAATAGTGCTATATATAATTATTTATTTAAAAATATAATTATTTATTTAAAAATATAAATGTAGCGTGTTGGAATCATATTTTTTAAATAAATATATATATATATATATATATATATATATATATATATATATATATATATATATATATATATATATATATATATTTTAAAGCATTTCCTTAAGTAAGGCAGGAGTGTCACTAGCATGATTATGGAGTGTGAAAGTGAGAGAAAAGTTGGTGTAGGGAGGATTGAAGAAAGCAGAAAAGGACAAGGATAAAGTCAGCTGATGGCAATTGATATTACATTTAAATATTTGAAGATTATAGTTATTAGAGAAGCAAATGAGAGGAACGGATTTCCAATGGAGGAAAGTGCGAGGAAACAAAATGCTGGAGTAGAAGTGGTGGTGACATTTCAGTATTTCAGAAGAAGATGGAACAAAAATGTTAACATTGTAGCAGGCTTGGGGCATCAGGTAAAATCTCGTCAGAGCAGTAGCCATGAAAATATTTGTAGAAAAGACGGAGGGAATCCGTATCACGCCTGTGAGAAAGTCTCTGAAGTCGAGAACTCAATTCAGGGCCGATTACATTACAGATCCTAGTTTGAATCTTGTCGAAAACCTCGAGATGAACGGCAGGGGCATCAGACCAGATATGGCAACATGCAAGCACGAATAGTAGATTTGGAGATGTGTAAGATGGACTCTGACGAGAAATAACTTCTGGCACGGCACAGTGATCCAATTGTCCTTTTTCGAGTATTTGAATTTTGCTTAATCATTGATATGTATATTAAGGAAGGTTGATTCTTCACATTCTATTGATAAAAT